ACCGCGGGCTGGAACGCCCCGCGCACCAGGAATGTCTTGTAGGCGCCCGCCCCCACCGCGCGCCGGACGCGTCCCTGCCCCTTGTACACACCGCCCGTCGCTCCTACCGATGGGCGCGGCGGCGAGCGCCCCGGACGCGCGAAGGGCCGCGAGCCCCCGCGCCTGGAGGAAGGAGAAGTCGTAACAAGGTATCCGTAGGTGAACCTGCGGATGGATCCCTCGCGGCCCCGCGCGTCGCCCCGCGGCCGGTCGGCCCCGAACGCCCCGCCGGCGGATGCCTCGGCCCGGGCGGCGACGAAGAGCGCGCGGAGCGCGAGACGCGGGTCGACCCGCCGCCCGAGAAGCACCGACCCTCGAACGCAGCGCGCCCCGGCGGGCCGCCGGCGCCCGCCGCGTGCCGCGCGCCGGCGCGCAGAGAGCGCCCCGGGGCGGTCCCGCCGGGCTGGGGCCCGAGGCGGGGCGCGACGGGCGAACTTAAGCATATCAGTACGCCCCGGAGGAGAAACCAACCGGGATTCCCCGTAGCGGCGAGCGACGCGGGAGGAGCCCGCCCCGAAGGCGCGCTGTGGGCGCAGGCGCAGGCCCGCGGAGGGCCCGAGCCCGCGAGAGGGTGCAAGCCCCAACGGCGCCGCCGGGCCTGCGCGGCGAGTAGCGCTTGAGCGTGCAGCGCGAAGGGAGGCGCGGCCCTTACAGGCTAAATACCCCCGGGACCGATAGCGGCCAAGTAGGCGAGCGAAGGAAAGGACGCCTGCGGCCGCTCAAAGAGCCTGAGACGGCCGGCCGCCGGCCCCGGCCCGTCTCGAAACACGGACCGAGAAGCCACCGCGCCGCGGCGAGCCCGAGGAGCCCCGGGCGGAGCGAGCGCGAGACGCCGGGCCGCCATGCCCCTGCGGGCGTGCGCGGGCCGAGCCCGCGGCGCGTGGGCCCGAAAGGCGGTGATCTATGCCCGGCGAGGCGAGGCCGGGCGAAAGCCTGGTGGAGGCCGCCGCGGTGCTGACGCGCAGATCGCTCGTCGGAGCCGGGCATGGGGCGAAAGACTCATCGAACGCCTGGTAGCTGGTTGCCTCCGAAATGTCTCCCAGGACAGCCGCCGCCCCGCAGTTGCGGCCCGTAGAGCGCTGGCCGGCGGGAGCGGGGGCCGCTCCCCGCCCGCAAATCCGAAGGGCTCGCGCCGCCCCGCCGCTGGATGGGGGGGCGGCGAATGCGGGCGGCGCGTGGCCCTCCTGGTAAGCAGGACGGGCGAGGCGGGACGAGCCGGACGGCGGGCCAGGAGTGCGCGCCGGGCCCGCGGAACGGCGTCGCCGGTCCCGACAGCTGGAAGGTGGCCCCAGAAGTCGGCATCCTCCAGAGTGTGTAACAACCCACCAGCGATACGGCCGGCCCGGAAAAGGAGCGCGCCGGGCCCCGGACTCGCGCCCGGCCGCCGCGCGCGGCGGGTAGGAGGCCGCAGAGGCCCCGGGGGCGAGGCGGCGCGCCTAGGCCCCGGCCGGCCGGCCTCTGGTGCAGAATGCCGGCAGCTAGCGCGCTAACTCCCGCCCCGGAGGACTGAGGGGGAGACGGGTTCCGCGGCGCGCATTCTGGCCGCCGGGTGACTCGGGCCTAAGCGGCGGGTGAGACCGGGATAGGGGCGTGCCGCTCCGCGAACGGGGAGCCGGCGGAAGACTCTCGGCACGCGGCCACCCCGCGGGGAACGCCCGCCCCCGCGCGGACGCGCATCGGGGAACGCGGCGGGCGCGCCCGCGCCGCGAACGCCCCGCAGTCCCCCGGACGCCTGCGCGCGAGAGGGGGGCCGGGGCGGACCCGCGCGTCCCGGCCCGCCCCTGAAAACGCGGGGGCGCCGGCCGCGCGCACGTACCGACCGCAGCAAGGACTCCGGGTCAGCAGCCTCTAGCGCGGGAGCGAACGCGGCTCAGGGAAGTCGGCAAGCCGGCTCCGTAACCTCGGAAAAGGAGTGGCTCTGACGGCGCGCCGGGTCAGAACTGGAACGGACGCGGGGATCCCGACTGTTTACTAGAAACACAGCGTCGCGAGGGCCGCACCCGGCGCTGGCGCGACGTGATTTCTGCCCAGTGCCACGACCGTCACCGTGAACGATCCGCCGAACCTGGTAAACGGCGGGATAACTATGACTCTCTTAAGGTAGCCAAATGCCTCGTCGGGCAATTTCCGACGTGCATGAATGGACCAACGAGGATCCCACTGTCCCGAGCCGCGCCTCCGCGAGCCTCCAGCCTCGGGAACGGCGAGGGCCGGCCAGCGGGGCAAGAAGACCCTTTTGAGCTTGACTCCAGCCCGGGCCTGTGGGGCGGGGCGGCCGGCGCAGCCATCACTACTACGACGAGATGCACAGGCAGCGCCAGGACATGAAGGCGGGCGTCTTCCGCGAGCTGAGGAAGAAGCGCCTGCAGGACACGGCCGCGCTCCGATCCTTCCTGCCGCTCGCATTGCTGGGGCGCACCCCTGGACACGCAGGTCCTGTTCATAGGGGACTGCTTGGCGGGGAGGTACCAGCGGGGCCGGCCGATGGGCACGTGCTGCCACTGCAAGCAGCCCTTCCTTCCCAGGCACCATCTGGTGTGCAAGGCCATTAACGGGATTCACGTGGCGCGGCACGACAAGATTCTGGACGCCCTGCTCGCGTGCTCCCGCGGTCGCGCTGGGTCTGTTGTGCGCAATCCCACGATCCCAGTGGATCACCTCCAGCCTGACCTTGTCATCGGTGGGGGCTTCGGGGACTTGGTGGTCACTGTCCCGTGGAGGCTGGAGCGGTCCTATGCCCTGAAGGCCGCCAAGTATCGCCCCCTCGTGCTCCAGGGGCGGGCGGCCCACATCCTCCCCGTCGTGGTCGGTGCTGACGGCGTCCTGCACCACCTGTCTGCGGCCGGACTCGCGTTCGCCGGCGTGGACCTTGCGCGCTTCATGCAGGAGGCGGCGCAGGTCATCCTCTGGCACTACAGGCTGTCGGCCCTCCTGTACGCTGGGCTGCGAGTGGAGAGGCCGGTGCACCGCCCCGCCCCTGCAGTATCCCTGCCGGAACCGGCTCCCAACGAGGCTCGGGCTACTCCTCCTACTCCCCTCACCCCTGCCATGTGGAGCCCTGGCACGTCGCCCTCCGTAGAGATCATGGCCGATCTCAGCCAGCATCCTGATGCGGCAGTCCTCCTCCCTGGGGTCCTGCTGAGGTCTCCTCCTCGATCACCTGGGGCACCGATCACCCCGCACAGCCGGATGCAAACGAACGCCCAGACCCCTTCATGTGCTCAAGGGCCCCCTCCCGCCTCCACTGGATGACGACAGCCCCGACGATGCAGGAGCACCCGAGCCGGTGCACAAGGCCCTGCCGTCCTTCTTCAAGCGCGTCGGTCCTCCCAAGCCGCATGCCCCTGATGGCTTCTACCCCTTCAAACGCATCGACACGGGGCGCTAGTGGTCATGCTTGGGCACCCTGCCCGCTGTCGGCTGCCCCACAGCGCGAACGGACCCCTGGGCCTGCGTGCCGAGCTGTCTCCCCTGGTACTCCTCGCTCGCACCCGAGGCCTCTTGCCCCTATCATTCGGGTGTGCATCACGTCCAGACACGGTGCGATAGATGCCTAGCCGCGATGCCATACACACTCGACCAGGCCGGGCCAGGCCGGACGCCCCCCTGGATGGCCAGACACCCGCCCTGCCTACGTTTGGGCACTTCCTCGATGGGACTCGTCATCTGCCCACGCCGCAGCCCGGTGTTCGTCTGTCTGTCCTCCGGGCAGCGGCGGTCCTTGGGTGCTGAGTCTGGCGAGCTGGTGCTGGGGGAAGAGGCTAGCCCCGTGTGTCATTCGTACCATCGCACCGCGCCGTGCTGATCCCCCATGGAACTGCCCGCCAGTGGCCGCCTCCGGTCCGGGGCGGCACAGCCCTGGCTCGGGCCATCCTCTGCTGCAGCGCCCCGGTGCCCCCTGGAGAGGATGGCCGGGTGCTATGTGCTACTGAGCCCTCGGGTGCATCGCTTCCCCACTGCCCCCCTCATGTACCCACTCTGGGCGCCCCGGTACAGGGAACCTGGTCACTCTGGCCCTGGCCTCCAGGTGCTTGCCCTCCAATGGGCCATCCTCATGCGCCTGTGTTTGCCTGGCCCATTCTCCCCTGCTCCTCTCTACCTCTCCTGCTCGGTCTCCGCTGAGTCGCGGTGACGGCTGTTGACAGTCCGGCCGGGCCCCCAGGTTTCGCTCCATACCTGGGCCACATGCCTCCAGCGCTGGCACCACATGGGTTGCTTGTCACAGATGGGACTGGCACGCACAGAAGAATATGGCTCCACGGCGCTCTGCCGGTCTGTCCTGAGCTGGCGTCATCAGCCTGGACCCGCCCTTAGGGGGCCTCCTCCATCACCCGTGCCTCCCCACACCACCTCCTAAGCCGTCAGTCTGCTCTCTCAGGCGTGACCTTCTGTCGGCTCCTGGGCCGTATGGGACCACCGCCCCGCTGCCCCCGCCATCTTGGCCAGACGCCTCCGGTGAGCCACCATTCTGGAATAGCACGACACGTGTGGATGGGCTAGCTATGGCGCACGGTCCGCACCCTCCCTTCTCACGGACTCCCGGGGACAGTCCGGACGCGTCTCCCTTGTCCCCCGAATCGGTGGCCCCGGCCGATCCCCATCGTGCATCCTTATATGGGGCACTGCACACACCTGTCCACGCTGTCCCCTTGGGCCGGCCACAGCTCACCCCGTGTGTCGATGGGCCAGAATTTGGGCTCCCCAAACCCCTCCACCCCCAAGCTGTTTCCTCGCCGGTTCTCTGGGCTCGCGCTTCCCTTTTTAGTGCAACAGCATTATGGTGCCTCGCGTATGTGCGCGGTGCAGTGGGCCGGTCTGTAGGCCTGCCTTTGACTGGAATCCTGGATCCCTGGGTTTCTGGCCCGACGCGTCGTCTTCTACCCCCAAACAGGCCTGCACTCTTCTTGGTCCACGGGCTATTTGTCTCTTGTTTCCGCGGCCCAGGGCCTGCTGGTTGCGCCGGGCGACGCTCATGGTGGATTTATTTTTTCCAAAATCCAGAATTTGGGCCTGAAGACCGCCCCGCAGGGCCTGGAGGATGCGGGGATCGGTCCACCCACACCATGCGCTCGAGCAAAGGCCAAGCACCCACGCCATCACGTCTCATCCAGGACTCCTGCGCCGCCACGGAGGAGGATCGGCACCTTCGCCATCGATCCTCCAGGATGCCCCCTACCAC